AGGAGCAGAATTGAATCAATGGAAGACAGAATTAGGGAGATTAAAGGCAAATACTTGAACACTTTTTTGGAAAGGGATCAATCAGAAAAAAGAGCAAAACAAAATGAAGAAAGCCTAAGGTTCTTGTGGGATACCATCAAAAGGAATAACCTATGTGTGCCATCGGAATTCCAGAACAGGAAGATAAAAATAAAACCACAGAGAAAATTGTCAATTTGTTGGAAGAGAATTTTCCTGGTATGATGAAAGATGAGAATATATCCATTCAGGAAGTCCAACAAACCCAAATAGGATAGACCCCAAAAGAAAATCACCTAGACATATCAATATCAAACTCACCAAAACCAAAGACAAAGAATCATGAGAGCAGCACGGGAAAAACAAAAAGTTACCTACAAGTGGCGACCCAATAAGACTAAGCTCGGATTTCTCAGCAGAAACCATGCAGGCGAGAAGACAATGGGATGGTATATATAAAACACTGAAAGAGAAAAATTTCCAACCAAGAATTATGTACCCAGCAAAATTGTCCCTCAAATATGATGGTGAAATTAGGACATTTTCAGATAGGCAGAAATTAAGGGAATTTGTTAAAACCTGACCAACATTACAAGAGATGCTAAAGGGAGCCCTTTGGACAGAGAAGCAACAACAGCTGACCATTAATATGCATGATGATATAACTCAGAAACTAACCCTGCTATGAAAGTGGTGGTGGTGGTATTGTTTGCCATCGCATTGGACCCGACTCAAAGCGACCCCTCCTTGGGTTTCCAAGGCAGTATCACTACAGGAGTAGATTGCCCAACCTTCCTTTCAAGGAATGGCTGGTGGATTTGAACCGCAGCCTTCTGGTTAGCAGTCAAGTGCCTTAGGCACTATACTACCAGAGCTCCTGCTATGGAAGTATCCAAAGTTAATAAGCCAACAAGATTGTAAACAGGGAACCAGAGACATCAATTGACAAATGAGGACAACTACAAGCCAAAAAGAGGGAAAAAACTGTCGTTATAGAACTTCTAGATGGTAAGGAAGGTTGGGCAATCCTACTTCCGTAGTGATACTGCCTCGGAAACCCAAGGAGGGGTCGCTATGAGTCAGGGCCGACTCGACGGCACATAACAACAACAACAACAACAACAGATGGTAAGGAAGACAAGATAACTACAAGATAGAACGGACTGTTCTAAACTTGAGAAGAAAACTATAAATCACAGGGTAACCTCAAAGAAAAATTATAAACCTTCGCGTCAAAAAAGAGGACCAGCATAAATAATCAGCAAATACTAAAACAATAGCAATGAAGAAAGTGATAACACGATTCATAGATAAAACAAGCTCAACATAGAAAATTATATGGAAGAAATTGACAGCACAAAAAAGCACATAACAAAAATGACAGCAATTAATTCGTATTTGCCAAAAATTACATATCTGACAAGGAACTTATCTCTAAGATTTATAGCAGATGAGTGGATGACCAAACTATGGTACATACACATAATGTAATGCTATGCAGCACTAAAGAAAATAATGTAGAGTCTGCAAACCACTGCATAATATGGATGAACTTGGAGGACATTATGCTGAGTGAAATAAATCAATCACAGAAAGACAAAATATTAGTTGGTTGTTGTGGAGGGTCAAGGAAAGGTTTATATATGGAGGGAAAGAAACTCTTTGTTGGTTGCCAAGGGAGGGGAGGGGAGGGAACACTGCCACAAAAAAAAAAAAAAATTACTGACCCATGTCACTTTAGTTCTGTGTATTTCATTGTACATAAATTATTATTCAATAAAATGCCTATATATATATATATATATATATATGTGTGTGTGTGTGTGTGTGTGTGTGTGTGTGTGTATATATATATATATATATATATATATAAACACTTTCACTTTCAGTGACTTCTAGCAAATTACTGAACTGGAGGGAGGAATGGTTACCCTTAAATTTGTAGCCACCTAGTCCGAGGTGAAAGAGCTCTGGTGGTGTAGTGGTTAAAGCATTTGGCTACTAACCAAAAGGTTGGTGGTTTGAACCCACCAGCAGCTCCATGGGAGAAAGATGAGGCAATCTGCTTCTGTAAAGATTTACAGCCTTAGAAACCCAATGGGGCTTACTCTGAGTCAGAATCAACTCGATGGCAGTGAGTTTGGTTTGGTTTTGGTCAGAAGTGAGGGTGACCTGAGGATAGTCAGCCTGCAGCTGGTGTTTGACATGAAGGCAGTCTTGGGGAGGACTGTGCCTCTAACCTGTGAAGTTTGGCCCAACTCCGGGTAATTGGTGTCAGGTCATTTGCACAAGCACTGATATTATTAAACTGTAAATTTTTATAGTTAACTAAAATGGATGGCTGGAACTTTATCTTAATGAGGTAAAAGCATTCTCCTAATTTTCCCAGAGGGTTCTGCTGTCATGCTCCTGGCAGCCTCAGGCAGCTACATACTGGAAATCAGCACCAAGAGGCCTCTGCTCGGAGCAGGAGCAGGCGCCCAAGTGTCCTTTACAGCGTACAGCCCTCAGGCAAAGCGGAGCCCATTGACCCTGCACTAGGGATACAGTTACTTATCAAACTTGTTTTTCTGGATTATTGCTGGAGTAGAATTAGAAGTCTACAAGAAAGAAATTGCATAAAGGAGGAGACAGCCAAGGCTACAGAATCAGTAAACACAGTTTTAGTAAGGCAGAGAAGGACCATATCTTTTTAAAACCATAAATGGGTACAAGTGCAAATTTCTGTCTATGTTCATTTGAGGGGTCAGGAATACTCCCTTAATGGTGGTCCTTTCTAAACTACCTTCTGTGAATTGGCTTTAGGGTGTCCATGAACTTCTTTAAATCATATGCAACATTATGTGTGTATCCATATATCCCTTTTCCATTGGAAGGGTGCGGTATGGGGGAGGGAGACTCCATAGCTTCCATCAGGTTCTCAAAGAAGAATGAAAATAGAAAAGGTTAAGAGCTAGCGAATCATAGAACACTTCTGCCAAGCCAGAGAAGTGTGTTAGTTTAAACTTGGAGATGGGCTAATAAAGCTTGGCATACAAAGCAAGTTATCAGATTGTGGTTTAGTTATGAGATAAAGCTAGATGCCTTTGAATGAGTACAGGCCTCTTTTTTTTTCTCTCTTGGAATACAATCATCAATGTTCAGTGTCTTCCTGAGGGTGCTTCAGCCTGAAGTAAATTTAGCCACAAAGTCAGAGGGGTCTTCAGGCTGGCTCTACTTCATCTCTTCCAAGGTACCCTAAACCAATTTCCAAGACCTGAAGTTAAAAATACCTCTTCTGCCAGCCAGCTAGAGAATAAGCAGCTGCTTGTCAGCACAAAAATCTTCAAAGTGGGAAGGGATTCAACTTCCTGTTCAGCCGAGCCAATCCTCGGGGTTGGAGGAATTGATGTTGAATGTTTGGAGTAAACAGAGTTAGGAGGCCTTCGTCAGGAAAGAAGGAAAAAGTCAGGAATCTGCTGCTCTGTCATTAGGGTGTAAGAAATCCCTCTTAAGCAAATTAAAAGCTTGTTTTAGCAGAAAAAGCTCACTCTGGTATTCTACTAATGCTACTAATTTACTTAATCTCTGGTTTGCAATTTCAATGAATTGTCTTCACTTTTGTTTCAATTTTTAGTGAAAATATACACAGCAAAACCCATTCTACACCACAGTTTCTAGACCTAATTAGATTTCAGTTTTCATTGTTGCGTATTTCTGACTTCAAGAAGTCTGTAAACAAAGAATGTTAATTTATGTTATAAGCACGTGGTAAGAATTTCATACATTACAGAGAGTAAATGAAAAGTAAAATTGCCCCCTCTAGCACTCCCGTTCCCTTTCTTAGGAGTGACCACTGAAGATTTGTATGTACCTTTCCAAAAAATAAAGAGCTCTGGTAGTGTAGGGCCTGACGCATTTGACTGTTAACCAGAAGGTTGGCAGTTCAAAACCACCATCTACTCTGTGGAATGAAGATGGGGCAATCTACTTCTGTAAAGATTTACCACCTCAGAAACCCAATGGGAGTTACTGTGAGTTGGAATCGACTCAATGGCAGTGAGTTTTGGTTATTTCAGTTTTCCAGAAAATATGTATGCCCTTTAAAAAAAATCATAACACAAATGAGGTCACACTATATATGCTATTAGGCATCTTGCTTTTTTTCACTGTCTGTCTTGCAGATAATCCCCCTTATTCTTTTCATTGGCTGCAGAGTTTTAATTGAGCAGCTGTGCTGTTACTTCTCAGACATCCTGAGTATTTATATTAATTCCATTTGGGGGCTGACACCATTAGGCCATCCTTGTACGTGTGTCATGGGATATTTGAGTTATCCACAAAGTAAATTTCTGATAGTAGAATTGCTGGCCAGAGGGGAAGTGCTTTGGATTTATATAGAGTATGATTAACAAATTGGTTCCAAAAAGGTTGCACCAATTCATACTTCCACCAACAGTGTGTGAAAGTGCCTGTTCCCCCCTCATCCTCACTGACACTGGGTCACTTCAAACCTTAATTTTTGCTAGACTAACAGGTAAATGAGAAGCTGTGGTAGCACAGTGGTTAAGTGCTTAGTTGCTAACTGAAAGGCCAGAGGTTGGAACCCATCAGCTACTCCAAGGGAGAAAGATGAGACATACCTGTGTCAGTAAAGATGACAGCCTTAGAAACCCTACCCAGCAGTTCTACTCTGGGTTTGGTTTGTTTTAATAGGTTTAAAGTTTCTTTATTATTTTGATTTATTTTATTGGGCATTAGGAAGAACACATTTAAATATTTGTTGGTTGGTTTTTATTTTAAAAATCAAAGATCCTTTTTTTTCTCCCCCTCTCCCCCCTCCGTTTAAGCACTTGCATTACCCATTTCTTAGAAGTTTGATGTTTTTTCCTGGAAAGTCGTCTTCCTAAACTGTGTAATAAGTAAAATACCTTTTTTATTTTTTGAAGATCAAGTTTTCTTTGCACTTTCTAATCCTTGGTTGGCTGCCTGGAGTTGAACAACTAATATTTCAGTCGATCTCTCCACCTCCGTGCTTTGGCAAGATCTTCTGCAATGGCTTTAATCATTTGATCAGTGGTTTCTTTCAAAACAGTTGCTGTCCTTAGAGCTTGATCCAAAGCCGAGTGTAAAATCTACAGAAGAAAAGCCCACACAATTTAGTTATATAAACTTACTACTATTTCTGTTAATCGGGTCCTCCTATTATACATTGCAGGGTGGAATTTTTGGAGTATTCTGTTTTCCACACAGTCTATTTCTGTTTTTGAGGGCTGGTTTCCTAGGAAACCAGTGTGAGATGGAATATATTTGCTAAGGAAAGGGATAGAAAAAAGACTAGCATGTGACAGATGAGCATGAATCAGAGGGTGGAGGTCGGCATCCTGCTGGGCCTTTCCCTGCTGGAGAAAGAGATCTGTGAGAAAAAGAGGGAAAGCTCTTGGGGGGCCAGTAAAGGGGATTCAGGGCTCAGAGAGAGGGCACCCAGAGATTGCAGCGCTTGTGTGTGTGGGGAAGCCCTTGAAAGTGGCCTGAGATCCGTTACTGGTTTGCACATAGGAACCTGCTTTGGGATGAAGCCCTAGCCATAGTATCACTGGCACAGAACTATGAGCACAGCCCAGAACAGGCTCCAATGCCTTCAAGCCTAGGCCAGCGGAATCCTGTGGCTGAGGAAAAGAACAACTGCAAAACATTTTCTCCAGGAAATTTCCCTGGAAACTAACTTAGGGATAAAGCAAACCATGTGGCTGCTAAGACTGTGTCTTTAGGTCAGTGCTGAACACAAACTGCTTTTAGCAAAGCATCTTCTGCCCTCTACCCTTCCACCTCAACTCCCACTCCTCGCTGTAATAACATAAAAGGCATCAGCTCTATGGTCAAGATCAAACTTAGGAGCAAGGATTCTAGATTTTTTTTTTTCTAATTTCTCACCTCAAATTCTGTGTTGTCAGTACTCCTAAAGTCACTTAAGGACTTGCTTCCATAAACCCTGTGGGAGTGGGAACGGAATGAGGGTGTTGCAAGGTCTGCACTGTAGGTCCTGAAAGTCTTAAGATCTTTTCTGGAAGACAAAAGTGAATTGATGCTGGAATGAAGCACACTGTCTCTTTCCGGTCAGTTCTGTGGTTCAGTGATAGCCCTGAGTGTGCTGAAGGGGGATGGGGGCATGATGACCTTTGTCATCCCATTGTCCTGCTGTAGCTGAGCACAGCTGAGCTTCAGATAAAGGTTTGTTACCATGACCATGAAGGGCATTTCCTCTCAGAATTTGTCTCCTTCTCTTTTGGTATTCAGAAAGACAAGACTCCAAACAGATTTTTTATTCCATATTTATTCTTTTGGGGCCAACCTTCTATCCCTGAATATTTATAAAACAAGTACACACACACATAAAAATCTGCTAACTGCAGGCACCGTGGGTTTAACTCATTCTAGCACTGTGAGCTTACACAGCAAGAAGGCAGCAGCAGTCAAAAAATAAACGCTGCATCTCTCCTACACTGTATTCATGATTCGGTTACTTGGGGATTGGGGATGGTCCTAAGGCTGCACTAGATGAACGAGGGCTGCCAGGGACACTGTGTAGTTGTTCAAGTTGTGCACTGCAGAACTCCAGGAGACTTCATTCACATCGGTCTATCTGAAGAGCACTGCCTGATTTATAGTTTGTACAACCATAAGTGGAGCCCCAGGGGGACACAAGAGCTTGCCTGCCAGCAGATCTGCCATGGAGCCACCCTCACTTGGCTTGAGATTCCTCTGTTAAGTGTTAATTCTTTGGTACATAAACATTTAAACCAAAGTGATATCATCTCTGGAAAGTCTCAGTCCAATGCTTGTGACCTCAAAGTCTCCCTTCATCCCTCTCCCCTTAACTTCGGTTGGTTCTGCAGATTGATTTAACACAGTGGATCTATCCTCCAGTTGAGAGAGGTTATCAAGGGTGCCTGTTGTTGTTGTTGTTATATGCCATCGAGTCGGACCCAACTCATAGCGACCCCTCCTTGGGTTTCCGAGGCACTATCACTACGGAAGTAGATTGCCCCATCTTCCTTCCGAGGAGTGACTGGTGGGTTTGAACCACCAGCCTTCTGGTTAGCAGTCCAGTGCCTTAGGCACTATGCTACCAGAGCTCCCTCAAGGGTGCCTAGATAAGGAAAATTCTGGGCAGGGCATGGCAGTGTGGTGCAGTGGGAAAAGAATGGGCTTCAAAGTCCTCCATCTCCCTATTTCCAGTCACTCACCACTATCAGCAGTATCAGTAACAGCCACCACTTAAAACCAAACCAATTTTTGTCAAGTCAATTCCGATTCAGAGTGACCCTATAGGACAGAGTAGAACTGCCCCATAGGGTTTCTAAGGCTGTAATCGTTAAGGAAGCAGACTGCCACTTCTTTCTTCCACATCTCAGTGAGTTCAAACTGCTGACCTTTCACTTAACAGCCAAGCACTTTACCCACTACACCCCCAAGGCTGCTCGGCCATCACTTACTGAGTGCTTATCATGAGCCAGGTACCATTCTAAATGCTTTATGTTTTAACTCACATAATCATCAATGGTTTTAATACTATCATCATTACCATTTTAAATAGTGGAAACCGAGGCACAGAGAAGTCAAGTAACCTGCCCAAGGACACAGAATCTAGATGCAAACCCAAAAAGTGTCTGGAGAGCACATCCTTTCTTCTTCTTTTTTAAATTGTGATTTGGGTGAAAATTTACAGAGCAAATTGGTCTTCCATTCAACAATTTATACACGTTTTGTTTTGTGACATTGATTACAATACCCACAATGTAACAGCACTCTTCCCACAATCCTTCTTGTGTTTACAGTTTCCATTCATCCTTCTTTCCTATTCCTTCCTTCCTTCTGAGCTTTATCCGTGGGCAAAGGAGACCACATGATTAAACACTACACTGCAATGGGTAGCAGGTTCAAACTGAGTGAGTCTGGTTCCAGAGCCTCGCTGCTGCACTATGGATTCTGCCTCTTAAGTAGCTGTTGAACCCATCCACTTCTCTCTCTTTCCATCTCCACCACACCAGGCCAAGCTACCATCATCTCTCACTCAGATTATTGCACCAGACTCTTATTTGGCCTCCATGCTCCAACTCATGACTCTTCTAATCCATGCCCATCTCTGCCCTCCACCTGCTCACCAATAGCCAAAGTGATCTTATAAAAATTAAAAAAACTTAAATTTCCACTTCACAAACTTCATTGGCTCCCTAGTGTTCCTAAGACAAAAGACAGAAATCTTTCCTTTAGTTAACAAACCCTTCATAGTCTGCCCCTGTCCATCCCATAGGTCTTCCCCCACCAGCCTCATCTTGCACTACTGCCATTGGCTCTTTTGGGCTCCAGCCACTGTGTCCGTGAACTTGCCAAGGACCTGCCTACCTCTGACTGGAGAGCTCCAGCTTGCTCAGGCTGGAATGTTTCTCACACCCACCTCCAAGTCTTCTTGCTAATTTATTCATACTTATCCTTCAGAGCTCAGCTTCCTTGAACCCCATATCAGGGCAGTAGCACTCTGTACTTCCTCCTCTTAGCACTGACAAAGGCTAACTGGCTCTTCCACCAAAATGTAAGCTCCATGAAGGCTGGGATGGTGATAGACATTTTTTATCACTGTGTCCCCATCATTAGTACTATACACTACTCTGACACTCAAATATTTCTTGAATGAATAAAGCTTTAGATAGACTTATGTTTGTATCCTGACTCTCTATGACTTAAAACTTAGCAGATCTTGGGCAAGTAGTTAAAGCACTAAACATGTCATATGTCCCCAACCAACATTAGCTATTTTGTTATCATTAAAAAAAAAACAACTCACTGACATCGAGTCGATTTGTTGTCATTAGTAATAATAAAACATCACTCACTTTTCTAGTATGGGTTCCTGTTCATCTTGAGGGGATTTCATATTTGCTCTCTGGGAACAGAACTTTTTTGGTTTTGAACAAGCTGAAATATAGAATCTATGATTAAAACCAGAGCATCAAAAATGATCACAATTTAATATCCAGAATAAAGAACTCCTAAAACTCAACAACAAAAAGACAAGGGATTTGAATAAACTTATCATCAAAGAGCATAGACAAATGCCCAACAAAACACATAAAAAGATGCTCAGTATCATTAGTCATTACCAAAAACTAAACCCATTGCCATCGAGTCAATCCCAACTCATAGTGACTTTATAGGACAGGGTAGAACTGCCCCATAAGGTTTTGAAGGCTGTAGTCTTTACAGAAGCAGATTGTCATATCAGCTTTCTCCAGTGGAGCAGCTGGTGGGTTTGAACTGCTGACCTTTTGGTTAGCTGCCAAGCACATAATGACTGGGCCACCAGGGCTGCTCATTAGTTGTTGTTAGGTCCTGGCGAGTCAGTTAAGACTCATAGGGACCCTACATACAGCAGAACGCAGCACTGCCTGGTCCTGTGCCATCATTACAATCATTGCCATGCCTGACCCCATCGTTGCAGCCACTGTGTCAGTCCATCTCATTGAGGATCTTGCCCTTTGTTGCTGACCCTCTTCTTTACCAAGCATCATGTCCTTCTATAGGGATTGGTCCATTCTGACAACATGACAAGAGACAAAGTGGTCATTCTCCCTTCTAAGGAGCATTCCAGCTGTACTTCCTCCAAGACAGATTTGTTATTTCTTCTAGCAATCCATGGTACATTCAATATTCTTCACCAACCAAAACCCACTGCTGCTGAGTCAATTTGTCTCATAGTAACCTCTCCTTGGGTTTCCAAGGCGGTATCTCTACGGAAGTAGATCGCCCAATCTTTCTTTTTCCTGGTTAGCAGTCAAAATGCCTTAGGCACTACGCCACCAGAGCTCCTTATTCACCAACACCAGAACTCAAATACATCAATTCTTCCGTGGTCTTCTTTATTCACTGTCCTGCTCTCACATGCATATGATACCAAAATGAAATTCATTGCCATTGAGTTGATTCTGACTCATAGCAACCCTTTATGCATATGAGGCTACTGAAAATATCATGGCTTGGGTCAGGCGCACCTTAGTCTTCAAAGTGACATTTTTGCTCCTTAATATTTTAAAGAGGTCTTTTGCAGTAGACTTACCCAATGCAATGTCATTTGATTTCTTGACTGATGCTTCCACGGATATTGATTGTGGATCCAAGTAAAATGAAATCCTTGACAACTTCAGTCTTTTCTCCATTTACCATGATATTGTTTATTGGTCCAGTTGAGAGGATTTTTGTTTTATGTTGCAGTGCAATCTATACTGAATGCTGTAGTCTTTGATCTTCTTCAGCAAGTGCTTCAAATCATCGCCACTTTCAGCAAGCAAGTTTGTGTTATCTACATATTGAAGGTTGTTAATGAGTCTTCCTCCAATCCTGATGCCATGTTCTTCTTCATATAGTCTAGCTTCTCATATTATTTGCTTAGCATACAGATTGAAGAAGTAGGTGAAAGAATAAAACCCTGACACACACCTTTCTGGACTTTAAACCAGGCAGTATCCCTTTTTTCTGTTCCAATGACTGCTCCTGGTCTATGCGCATGTTCCTCATGAGCACAATTAAGTGTTCTGGATTCCCATTCGTCTCAATGTTATCCATAATTTGTTATGATCCACACAGTCGAATGCCTTTGCATAGTCAATAAAACACAGGTAAACATCTTTCTGGTATTCTTTGCTTTCAGCCGAGATCCATCTGACATCAGCAATGATATCCTTCATTCTGTGCCCTCTTCTGAATCTGACTTGAATTTCTGCAACTTCCCTGTCAATATACTGCTACACCATTTTTTAATTATCTTCAGCAACATTTTACTTATGTGTGATATTAATGATATTGTTTGATAATTTCCACATTCTGTTGAATCACCTTTCTTTGAAATGGTCACAGATGTGGGTCTTTTCCAGTCAATTGTCCAAGTAGCTGTCTTCCAAATTAGTCATTCTAACAAAAACCCCAAACTTACTGCCATCAAGTCAGTTCCAACTTATAGTGACCCTAATTGGGTTTCCAAGGCTGCAAATCTTTACAGGAGCAGGCCGCTTCATCTTTCTTCCATGGTTGGCTGGTGGGTTCAAACCACCAACCTTTTGGTTAGCAGCCAAATGCCTTAACCACTACACCACCTGAGTTCCTTAGTCACTGTTGTTGTTGTTATGTGCCATCGAGTCGGACCCGACTCATAGCAACCCCTCCTTGGGTTTCTGAGGCAGTATCACTATGGAAGTAGATTGCCCTTCCTTCCAAGTAGATTGCCCTTCCTTCCAAGGGGTGTCTGGTGAGTTTGAACTACCAGCCTTCTAGTTAGCAGTCAAATGCCTTAGGCACTGCACCACCAGAGCTCCCATCCTTAGTCATTGTTGTTGTTATTTGCCATTGAGTCGGCCCCGACTCATAGCGACCCCTCCTTGGGTTTCCAAGGCAGTATCACTAAGGAAGTAGGAATGCCCCACCTTCCTTCCGAGGAGTGGCTGGTGGGTTTGAACTGCCAGCCTTCTGGTTAGCAGTCAAGTGCCTTAGGCACTATGCTACCAGAGCTCCTTCCTTAGTCATTAGAGAGATGCAAATCAAAATCACAATGAGATACCACTTCACCCCTCTAGAATGGCTTTTAAAACAATAACAACAAAGAAAATAATAAGTATTGTCAAGGATGTGGAGAAATTGCAACTCTTGTCCATTGCTGGTAGGCATGCAAAATGATACAGCTGCTATGGACAAACTTAGCTGTTCCTTAAAATGTTAATCATAGAACTACCATATGACCCATGAATCCCAATCCTAGCTATATACCCAAAAGAACTGAAAGCAGGAACACAAACAGAAACCTGTACACCAATGTTCACTGTAGCACCAGTCACAATAGCCAAAATGTGGAAACAACCTAAATATCCATCCACATAGAAATGGATAAACAACACATGATATATAGAAACAAAGAAATATTTCTCAGCCATAAAGAGAAATGAAGTCTTGGTACATGCTTTTAACTGAATCCATTTGCCACTGAGTTGATTCCTACTCATAGTGACCCTATGGGAGCTCTGGTAGCATAGTGGCTAAGACACTTGCCTGCTAACCAGACGGCTGGCGGTTCAAACCCACCAGCCACTCCTCGGAAGGAAGGTTGGGCAATCCTACTTCCGTAGTGATACTGCCTCGGAAACCCAAGGAGGGGTCGCTATGAGTCGGGGCCGACTCGACAGCACATAACAACAACAACAGTGACCCTATAGGACAGAATGGAATAGGTTTTCAAGGCTGTAATCTTTACAGAGGCAGACTACCACATCTTTCTCCTACAGAGGAGGATTCAAACCACCGACCTTTTGGTTAGCAACCAAGCGCTTAACCACTGCACCACCAGGGCTCCATGATACATGCTACAACATGGATGAACCTTGAAAACATTATGCTGAATGAAATAAGCCAGGAACAAAAAGACAAATACTGTCTGATCCCACTAATATGAAATAGAAAAACGTATAGAGACCAAAGCTAATTAGTGATAAAAACAATAAAAACATGTAACAAAAGTTTTGTTACGTGTATTTTTATCACAATAAAAAAAAATCTAATGATTCTCAAATGGTGAGTATCTAGGTATCATTTTCTGCACTTTTCTGTGTGAATGAAATATTTCATAAAATTTTAAAAAATAAGTAGGGAGTATAGAAAGAACTTTATATCAAGTGTTCTGAATTCAGGAAAGTAAATTCAACTTATAAGAAGTTTTATTAGTAGACAGATCAGGAGTCTAGGTTTCCTAAGTGTACCTGTGTGACCTGGGCCTGTTGTTTTACCCTCTCTTTGTAAAAGGCTTCTCTGTGTAAGTAGGCTCCACTACTTCATCTGAAAAGTGGAAATGATAATATCTTTCAAGAGACTGAATCAAATGAGTTCCTGATGTCCTCCCCAACTTTAGAAGTAATGATTCTAGGAGCCAGTAGCTGACAATTATATTACTAAGACAATTCCAGAAAATAGAGAGTTAACAGAAAAGAAGATGAACATAGGAGAGTCTCAAGGAAGACAAGAAAAGAATCAGGAAAAGGAAGAAAGAAAAATCAGTGACCAACAAATCTGTCATGGAGGCTCCTCTCCTCTTTCCCCTTCCTCATCTCCCTCCTTTTCTTTCTATTATCCCCCTTTTCTCCTTCCAGGGCTCCTCTCTTACTGTTCTCCAAGAGCTAGGCACCACTTCCCCTCAGGAGGGGCCCATTTGACCAGTTGTTTTGGTTACTTCGTGCTGCGCTAACAGAAAATACCACAAACAGGTGGCTTTAATGAACAGGAGTTTATTTCTTACAGTTCAGGAGGCTAGAAGTTCGAGTTCAAAGTGCCGGGCTCTAAGGGCTGGGAAAAGCCCCTCAACCTCGGGCTTTAGCTCTGCTTCTTGCTCCCGGCCCACTGAAGCTGGGGGCTTTCTTCACTCAGGCAGCTGCTGACTGCTGAGGCTGACAAACCCAGGGTCAACAAGTAAAAAGGCACAGTCCCAGTATCACCAAACCACATTACAGGCCACTGATTCAAGTCCATTAACAGTCTGAAGCTCAGCAGACAACGTGTAGGCTTCTGAACAATGACCCGACTATATATAGGATTCAGGAGTGCCAAAAGCTTTAGAGCCCTGTCTCCAAACTCCTTATATACTGGGAGCGGACCACATCTCTGTGGCAGCTATTCAGCTGCTCCAGTAGATTCCACCGTGGAGCTGATTACCAGCTCATCACGGGGAATAACTACAACCAGCTGCTCAGACACTCAAAACCAGGGCCAGCCAAATTGAAACATAACCTTAACTACCACACCAGCAAAACAGGGAAAGATTGTCCCTCAGATGCTAAAGGGCAAGAGAGAAGCCAGAAAGTCCAAATACAGTCATGCTGACCACCCAGACTTCAGCAATGATGAACAGAGACACTATTGGGTCTTAACCCTTTAGTTCTCTCCCA